CTCTGCGCCAGCCCACCGGAACAGAAGGGGGAAACGCAGCGAGTCCCACGTGGAGAGGGGCAGAAGCAGCCACACAAAAGCTCCACGGACGCAGAGCTGAGGAAGGCTCTGGATGCCTGCGACGGGCTGCGCCTCGGCTATCTGTGCGCCATCACGGGCACGTGGAGCTAGGGGAACCTTCCTTATACCAGATACAGCGTCTTGCCCGCCGCGGTGTCTGGGTGAGCTGTGAAAGCACATCACAGAAAGCAACGCACAAGCATTTAGCGATCACAAATCAATTTAGAGCCACAGAGGAGTTCGGTATTTATTTCAGAAAGGGCGGTGGCTGCTTCTGGCTTTTCCTTTCCTCGTCCATCATTGCCAAAGCTACAACCCTCCCCCAGAAAATTAATTGCTGTCAGCGCATAGTGTCATGCTGCACTTCACAGAGCTGCTTGCTCCTGGCGCGAATGCCAAGCCCACAATCAGCCGCTTGCCCGTTGCAGTGATGCAGCAAAGTGACGGAGGTGAAATCCTCTCACGGATGATGGGGGCACAGTGGCAATGGCTGCAGAGAGTGAAGGGACGGCACAGAAATCCTTGAGGCCTTGCAGTCCCGCTTCCTGCAGTGCAAGGAGAGGCAGTGAGCGTGGAGCTGCCACCTACAGACATGCACCGAGGAGGAGCTCTCATCTCGTCAACAGCCTGGTGCTTAGCTGCAGCAACGCTTGTGACCCAGCTTCCCTGTCCTGCCTTCCCCGGCCTGGCCCTGGCTGCCCGGGATCTCCCCCAGGGAGGTTTCCTGGCCGGGACCCCCATGCTCTGCTCAGCCTCCAAAGGAGCAGCGCAGAGGCAGCAGGAGGCCCCAGGGAGCTGCTATGCTCTTACAGCCATCGAGACCTGAGGCTGGGCCCACGAGCACCATGAAGAGGTGGCTCTTTGGTGCGTGTCAGAGGGCAGCCGCTCTGCTGCTTTGCTGCAGACACATTAAAAGGAAAGTGATGAATAAACTCACCAGCTCCAATTATACCCATTCCCTTTTCCCTCCCTCCTGCTACACCTTGCAGCGCCTCTGTTCAAGCTGTCAGAGGATCTGCAGCCTCCCAAGTGGACACGGATTACTCAGCGTGGTAGGGGCCTCTGGAGCTGTCCCCACGTCCCAGCTCAGCTTCACGAGCAGCTCCCTGCGCCCAGGGCCAGCTGCGGCACCCAGCCCACATCCCAGCATCTCAGCTTTCCTGCTGTTGGTTTACTCTGTGCCTTCTGAGGAGGAGAAAGCAATACTTGCTTCCCTCCCATTGCCCTGGGAAAACACATGCCCTGGGACGAGGTGTGGAAGGCCACAGCTCAGGCTGCAGGGCCCAAGTCAGCTCTCGCTTCCCCCTCTCTCCCATTTCTAGCCATGGCGCTGTCAGGGTCTGGAGAGGGGGGACAGATGCAGCTGCTGTCCACTGGAGGTGAAAACATCAATAAATTCGGATTGTGGAGAGGGGAGGCCGAGTGTACAGAACTCATCCATGTTACCCATGTTTAACAACCACAGATTGGGATAAGGAGGTGTCTTCTCCGAACTCTTTTAATACATTCACCTTTGAGAGCTTTCAGCAAAAAGGCAGGAATGTGAAAGGATCAAACTCTGGGTTTGCTTGTTCTTTCCTCAGTCAAACCCTCATCAATTGCCTAAGGGAAGGGTGAGGGCTGAGCAAAACTGGCTGAGAAGTCCCACTTCTAATACTGAAGCTCACAGTTCTCTAGCCTAATGCCACCAGACAAAGCTCTTCCAAACACGTCCTGCTCTCTACCTGCTGTGTGCTGCTGAAAACGACAGTTGGAGGGGCTGCTACTTTATAGCTCGCACCTTCCTCAGGTAGTGTGATTAGCAACCGCGTGACTGGACTCAGCTGGGCAGGCTTGGCTGAGAGCAGGCTGAGGCTCTAAAATCAGCAGCTAATGAAAAGAACAGCTTTGAGGAGCCTCTCCATCACACAGGATCCTCTGGAAATCAGGGGTATGACGAGGGTCTTGCTGAGATGACCTTTCACGCACAGCTGTTTGTGAGACCCGGACAGCGCTCCAGTTGGTCAGTTCAGTTGAGTCTTCTGGAACCTGCAAAAGCACCTGCAAGTGGCAGCTCCAAGGGGCCGAGCAGTCGGTGACCATCCCTAGAGGGTCTCCTGGACATCATTGTGTGCATGCAGTCACACTGCAGGCAGGCCTTCTGCTTGCGAAGAGAATGAGACAGGTCCACCCACAGCAGCTAACCTACAGGCTGCAATTGCCTCAGCAAGGCGCTGGCTCAGGGAGACTGCTCCCATGAATGAGGATTACTCATGTACAGGCTGCAGGCCCCAGGGCCACTGGGATTCCCTGTGGTCTCATCACTGCAATTACCCTCACTCCATTCCCAGATGGTGTCACACAGCCTGACCTGTCTTTGCACAGGTGAGAGTTAGCTTGGCCAGCACATTTACTCTTCTACCTGGGCTTCTTTTTTTTTGCTCCTAACAAAGACAGGAGAGTGTGGCGTTTCAAGTTCTGCCTCCACAGAAAGGGCTCAGAAAGCCAGTGCTGATGTCAGGGAGTTGCTCTGGGCAGAAGCACACACACGCAATCGCTGTCATAAGCAAGGACCCTTCTGCAATCACTGACTCATTCGTGCCCAAGCAGACCAGCAGAGTCAGGTACCTTTTCAGGATTTCATCCCTTCCCTCTCCCACACAGCCAGCAAGAGAATCAGCTCATCACAAAGGACTGACACACGCACTCGCCCACACTTCTGTGTCCTGCCTCCCCTCCCATGCAAATGGACACGCTGTGAGGTGGCTTCTCATGCTTGTGCACACTGCGAAAATGCAAACTGGGATAACACACTCCCACGGCTTCCACTCAGGCATTGACTAGTGGCTGATTAATGATCCTCAGCTTAACAAGCTTGCTGAGAGTGAAAGAAAGTTCCCATCCCATCCTTTGTGCCCAGCATGGCAGCCTGTGTTCACCAGTGCAGTGTCTGAGAAAGGCTGAAATGATCCAAGAAGTCACCTCCATCCATCCTTGCTGGCTACAGGAATCCTCGCAAGGAGCTGGGACTTCTCCTGGGATCTGAAGTATGCCTGACAAAAGGGAGGCCTCTGGACGAGACTTCCTGGAAGCCACCCTGCAGCTGTGGAGTCAGAGCCATCGGAGCTGTCATTTGTGCCACAGAGCAAATGGCAGGTTTTCATCCGAAGCAGAAGCAGTGAAGTCACAGGCAGTGATGAGACAAAATGTCCAGTGCACAGGATGGAGATGGTGACATGTCCTGGATGGGCTGCAGCCCATCCCTGCAGGCAGGCAGGAGGCAGAGCGGCACAGATCGGCACTGCAAGGAGCAGCGCATCACGCCAGCAAAGAGCAGCTCCATCACCACATCCCAACACATCTGACACAGCACTAGAGGACCCAATGTGGAGCAAACCTCTTAGGCAGAGGAACTGAGACGGCATTTCATTTGTCTTGTAAAACAGCACAGCCTGACATGCTCACTCAATGCAGAAACACAAATCGGACTGAGGTTAGAGGCCAAACATGTCAGCCTGAGTGCACAGCCAGACATCCCTCCCCTGTGGGTCTTTGATGCAACACATTTATTTTGCCGTGCAGCAGCACTGCACAGTACACATGATTTACCAGTAGTTTCAGAGCACTAAGCTGGCATTTCTCCTGCCTTCCCTTAATTTTGGATAAGAGGCAGGACCATTGTCCTTTCCTCCTTTTCACTTGCAAGGGAACAGGCCAAGAAAAGTCCAAAACCACAGAGGCACTTGCTGTCAGGACTGGAGACTTGCTATCAGAAAGCCAGCCTCCCAGTCCACCACTCTCACCCCTAGGTTCCTCTTTGGCCCAGGACTGAGAGCGAATCCAATAGTTTCAACTCTATGCTAGATCACATTTCTCTTTGAGAAACTCTCTGCACATCTGAACAGAAATCAGGCTAAGGAGATTCTGCAATTACTAATAAAAACCCTATCAGATTTTAAAAGGACTTACTGACTCTCTCTGAGGGACTGTGAAATATTTTGGGGCATTCTAGGTGGGCCGGTGATGATTCATTAAAAAAATCTAAGGAAAGGCCTTTTTTTTTTTCCTGTGCAGTCCCATTGGAATTTGTTACTAGGGTCCTGTCCAGATGGGGAAGAGAAAGAAATAGCCTGGCCTTCCCAGCACACCATATCCCCACTCTTT